TTTGGTTAAAGGATGTGGAAGTAAATCTACAATCCGTTGCCCTTCCGTGAAATTTGATCCTAACCACAAAATATTTGAAGCTGAACATATAATTACTGAAAAGATTGAAATTCAACATGCAACGTTTGGTGGAGGTAGGTAATGGTGTACGCAGGAACAACGAATCAGTATGGTGTGGTTCAACCAAACAGGGGTGGCCATTCATTATTATTATTATTATTCACAAACATCTTATGGGTACATAAGTGCTATGAAGAAACCATTTCGGGTTTCTTCAAAAATGGAATAATACACTATTTTCAATAACGTTAGCATTACATATGCCATGTTTGAGAAAGAAAGGAAAAGGAAAGTAAAATATTGATAATAGAATAGTAATAATAATAATAGTAATAATAAATCAGGTTCTGCGTAATTGGCAAGAAATTTGAATAGATTTTGAAGGAAGAAAGGAAGAAACTAATGAAATAGAAATAAAGGAGTCGCGGAATACGTAAATAGCCTAACACAGAACAAGAACAAACAACTATGTATGTATAGCAAAAACGAGCAATAAAAATAAAATAAAACAGAATAAATTGATAAGTAAATAACTTATTATTGCGGTAAGTTATGACGTTAGAATAAGTGTTTGCGCGAGCACAGTCATAGTTTTGGGTGATGCTATGAAAGTTTCAATTAAGTGCAAAAGATAATCAATGTGTATGAGGTGTATATACATAGTGAAGATAAAACGAGTTTGATAAGTTGAATTCAGCGTAACACAAGTTATTGTCTTAATCCAAAACTTCGTAGTCTTAAGAATAATATTTATTTAGAAAGAAAAAAAAGAGAGAAAAGAAATGAACACATAGTGAAAGGGTACAACTATGATCATAATAGTGTAGTGAATATGGACTTTTGAGATAAACGAATAATTTAAAGATAATAATAATAATAACAATAATGGTAACAATAATAATAAACCTTTACTGCACTCGGATAAATACGTGTAGATTTATGTAACAGTATACAGAGTGAAACCGGGTATTAGTATAAACATTAGTGCAATAATAATAATAGTTTAGAATGATGCTATAATAGTCACAATTAATTGCAAAGGATAATCAAATATAAATTTCTATATGTTATATATATATATATGTTGTAAAGATTACAAAATAAAAATAAAAATCTGAGAATTTATTTGTTCAAGTGTAACATAGGGTTTTTTGTTTTTAATTGTAGACTTTGGACGTTTAGCAATAAAATATGTTTAGAAGGACAAGAAGAGATGAAGAGAATATCTAATGTGTCGAGGGACCAATAATGATAATAATAACAGTAATAGTTATAAATGCGAACATATGCAGACTTCATATATTAAGATGAATAAAATTGAATTAGAATAGACGTGAAAAGTTTCAAAGGTTTCACTTTGCTTTTCAGTCAGTTAGATAGATGACGGACCTTTTTTGTATATATCATTGTTAAGCATGTTGATATTTAATAGGTGACACAATCCTTTTTCGGAAAAATGATCAAGAAGACTTCGGAACCGGGTTATAGTTTCACTGCATCGGAGGTTCATTGGCAGTCTATTCCAAATGGTTGAGTAGCGAATAACGAAACAATTCTGTCGTAAATTTGTGTGGGTTTTTGGAATCACTAGAATATTTTCCTTATTGCGTAGATTGTGTGACGGTATCATAGAGTATGAAGGGGTAGATAGCGATGTGTAAGAAATACCGTTAAGAAGCCGGTAAAGAAAGATAAGGTTTAATTTGATACGCCTGATCCAGAGAGGTTCTAGTTTGAGTTGTTGACATTTTTGGTGATAGTCTTTGTTGTCAGAATACCCCAAAATAGCTTTGGTGAACCTTCTTTGAACACCTTCAATTTTAATCAGGTTATTATGCCTGCAATTACTGTAAACTAAAATACCATATTCAAGAATTGGTAAGATACATTTTCCGCATAATAATAATCTCGGTTTGGTATTATTGAAATTAATCATCATGAATCTGATGAGCTTTCTAGCTTTGGATACTTGAGATGCAATGTGTTCAGAAAAGTTCAAACTGTCGCTATATCTTAAACTGAAGTCACGAACAGTGTTGAGAGGTTTCAGTGTATGTTTGTGCATAGCCAGATTTAGGTTAAGGCAGCGGCCGATGTTAATAAATCCACTTTTGTGAACATTAAGTGGCGAATTCCACAAAATAGTCCACTCGTACAACTTGTTTATTTCCTCTTGGTTTACCGTTGAAATATAGCTTCCTTTGGTGGGAGATGAGAATTAATAAACCACTTTTAGATCATCGGCAAAAAGAAAATGTTTACCATATTGAAAGAGGGAGCAAACGTCATTGATAAGAAGGAGAAATAGTAATGGACCAATTACACTTCCTTGTATAACCCCACTGGTTACATTCACAGGTTTGGAGTAGCAAGATCCAAAGCGGACAATTTGGCTACGTTCTTCTAAAAATGACTTGAGCCAAGATAAAAGGTGATTCTGTATTCCATATGAAGAGAGTTTTATAAAAAGAAGTTTGTGTGAGACGCAATCGAAGGCCTTACTAAAGTCGAAGTACAGAATTATCACTGATTGACCAAAATCTCATCTCTGGGTAACTCGGTCAAAACATTCCAGGTGCTATGTGAAGCATGAGCGTTTGGTCATAAACCCGTGTTGGGATGGGCTAATCAGATTAGCCGAAAGCAAAAATGATAATAGCTGTTCGTGGATTATTTTTTCCATAGTTCTTGACAGCACGGATGTCACAGATGTATGAGCAATTCGAAATATTGTGAAAATAGAGCAATAAATTGTTTATGGGTATGACAGCGGAATAAATCGTGGAAATAAGTAATGTAGAATATAATAGAAATTGGTCTGTAGTGCCAATTGAATATGAGAATGAAGAACAGTGAAATATGACGTTCTGATAAGCCGCAGTAGAGTAAATAGAGTCGCTTAGCGATGAGTGTATTCGAATTTATATAACTGAAGTTTATGTGGGATAAGAAGTAATCCAGCCGTAGGAAGATGACTGCATCAACAGGTGGTATTCATTGCTGTACTGCAATTGATCATGATAATAAAATGCGAAGTCAGCGTGCGCTAACGCTTGCGTTGAGTTATCGTTAAATATGTATTAGTAGAATGACCAGAGGAACAGGATAGTGACTGCTTAGACGAGATATGCGGAGTCGTATTCTCTTTTGGTCTAGAAGCCTAGCGTGGTTTGTGTAGTTAGAGGGATATGCGCTCAACCTCATTTGTTACGAAACCGTTTTAAGGCATGATAAAAATACCAATACATATGATTGTCGATGACAGCGAGTGAGACTGACTTGAATGTGACGAACAAGAGTGTATCTTTGAGAGACTAGCTCTAAACTCTATGTTCTGGTGTACAGTACAATGGAAATAAAATATTAATTGCAGTAATCGAATTGTGATTATGGGTAACGGATGATGCAGCATTCAGTTATACATGTGAATGAATAGATAATATGAAAATAATCATTACTAATCGGCTGGTAATGCGGCGTCGAATACTCGATTTGTGTATAAACATTAAAGTAGGGATCATCGTGAAACAAAAATTGCGGAAGTTCGGTCTAGGTTGTCGCTGAAAGTGTAGGAGACGACGATTGCTGCGTACCAATGAGATGAATGAACATTAGTTGTACATCGATAACATAAGTTCCTACTATCGTGAGTATGACTCCAAACTTATGTCTATGATAGAGTGTAATATTAGACCGAAAATGACATGAAAAAGAAAAAATTGGAACGAACTCACCCGAATCAGGAAAATTTTACGTCATTGGATAATAAAAATAACCCAGTGAGTTTCAAATATCATAACGTGTAATGTCCATATAATTATAATTTGTTCGATTAGTGATTCGACTGCGTAAATGTCATAATTTATCGTCCTTACGAACAAAAATAATAATTCCACGTTAGATGATGAAATGACATTATTGTAATAATTAGCATATGATGATTATTAGAATCAACGAAATATGTCGTCGGCGGTTTCATTTTTAATTTGTGTTCACTTATTGCGGTTGCCAATTATGTAGTGAGTTCGTACGTAGATGTTGTCGATTCTGGTCCATGTTCGTTCGGCGAGGCATCCAATTCTGTAGCGTCGTGCTCGTACGGCGAGGTATCCAATTCTGTTGTCGGCGTAAATCTGATTCTGACTATACTCGTATATAATAAATGACTTTATTCCGCGTTGGTGAACAACGGAGTTAAATAAGTCAAATACGAGAATGGAATTAGGATACATATATTTTCCACAGTCATTGATTTGGCCAGAGAATCAAGTGATGAAGCAAATAAAAGCGAACGAAGCGAAAGATCATGCGTAATGGAGATTAGCTGGGAAACCAACTCGAGAGCGAAGCGAGAACAATGCGTATTGGAAATGGCTGGGAAGCCAACTCGTTATAAGCAAGCATTAATCAACATTTATTGTCAGACCAAAATGAATGACAGACATGTGATAGGTAGGATAAGAAGTGTGCATACACATACGCTCATATAAAAAAATAGTCAAGGTCAATAAGGGAATAATTGACAAGATCAAAATATGACTCATAACGTTACAGGTGAATTGGCTTGTCCAGAAACTAGAATAAGCTATGTAGGTGTAATATAGTACACAACGTTACACTACTCCCCACAAGATCTATGTTGAATGATGTATAACCGAAGCAGGAGATGGTCTAATATTGATCTTCTGCACCACAAACAACTATTTTGGTGTTAATATCGCCTATCATTTGTTTATACGAGGCCATCTGCAAAAGGTTCAGTGACCGCAGTCTAATCATCTCAGAGTGATGATGAATGACTAGGACGCTCTAATGAACAAGTTGTATCACATCATTGGTAAATGCTTTCTAAAAAAACTTGATTTCAACATACAGCAATTTATTAAATAGGAATATTCTTAGAGAATTCTTTAATTTATTAGTGTCGGTTTAAACACACCTAACTTTGGAATAGGTATATACAAGGCCAATCCTTGACATCCGCACATTTCAGAGTGAACGCTACGGTGAGCTTTCATCGCGCAGTGTTGGTGTAGATTGCTACTGATCATTTGGAAGTTCTCAGTTAAAGTACACATTTGATTTTAACAATTCACAATTCTGCTTCTCTTATCATTCCTCACCGTTTTTCAGGACAATAATAGTTTCATAAAGTCCACGTGTCTCACTGTGTTTTGAAAACACGGATTTTTACATAAGGTGACTATAAGACCTGCTTCCATATTTTGTAACAGTCTCAAAGTGCTGGTGTACTTTTTTTCACTTGGTTATGGTCCTGGAATAGTCCCAAAAAGCTTTTCGGGAACCTTTAGGTTCGGCTTAAAGTTTATAAAAGTAACTACAAAAATAGAAAAGCCGATTTTAAGATTTTAACCTGTATATAAGCTTTGTTCTGTTTGAACACGTGTGGTTCCTTCCAAGCGACTTACATAGCTCTCCTACGGATATATAAGTTCATATAATTGCAGAAATCTTCTGTGGCTGAGTAAGTCTGAGACTTTGTTTACCCTTTCAAAGTTTTTACTTTAATTCTCCTTTATCGTATGTATGCGTCGTTAGAGAATTTTCGGAAGTATTTTTTTTATCTAAGTACCTTACGTTTAATTCTGCCTTATTAGAATATCACCCGCTATGTCACTTTTAAAGTCCAGTCTCATACAGGTTTTTTAACTCACCGAGTCACAATTTCTTTCTTTTTTTTAATTAGTATTTTCTACTAAGTATTTTCTAACGAATGTATGTGTTCTTCAGTATATTTATTTCGCTATCGACGCTGCCCTCAGAACATAATAGCTTGATTCTGTGGCTGAAGCATTTAACCAAATTTATTGTATATTAAAGAGGTGTGAAGCTTTGGAAATGGGTATACTGACCGGTTCATGTATTCTTTTTAAATATATTTGGTTTTATGGGACCGTCTCCTTCTAGAAAGTAGGACGTCAAGGAAAGCTATACTATGCTCTTCCTCGCTGGTGAATTTAATAGCTGGGTGGACGTTATTGAAAAAGTCCAATATCTGTTTGTCAACGATTTCTTCACATACGATGTGTCATCTATGTATCGACAGCAGTAGTCTCGCTTAGTTAGTATGTTTTTTAACGGTTCATTTTCTAGTTTGGCCAGAAAAATATCAGCAAGGATCGGGCCTAAAGATGATTCCATTGCTACTCCATCTACTTGTCTGTAAAATTCATTGTCAAACTTAAAGTAGATATTCATAGTACATTTCAACAGTTCTTTCATTTTACTTACTGGAATCGGTATCTCTATTTTCTTTACTAGCACTTGCTCACACATGTAATCGATAGTTTCAGTCAGGGGGATGTTAGTAAACAAAGATGCTATGTCTAGTGATAACATGGTTTTATTATTTATATTCATATTTTTTGTTGAACCCACAAATTCAAATACGTTTTTAACACTGTGCTTAACCAGTTCTTGGTGTAATGGTTCTAATAATTTCACTAACCATTTTGCTGTTGAATGGCATGGTGAGTTTGACATGTCCAGAATTATGCGTAAAGGAACCTCATGTTTATGAATCTTAGGTAGGCTATAGAGTCTAGGGGTATATGTTCCAGAAGGCTTGAGCCCATTATAAGTATGCTCAGAGATGTATTGATATTGTTTTAAAAATTCTAATGCCGTAGTTAGTTGACGTTCAGTCTTTCCATTGAGGTCTTTACAAGAACCAAGCTTTTGGAATTTAGTTTGATCACTCAGTAGGGTATTCATCTTATCTGTGTATTAGAATTACGGTGCCGGATCCTTTATCAGGTTTAGTGATAAGAATGTGTTCATTCAATTTTAGTTTCCGGATAGCTTCGTGATGTTTATCAGTCAATATACTATTTGTGTAATGCTTGTTGATTTTAAATTGGTTACAGAAATCAACCAGCGTGGTTTCGAATCATTCATGTTCTACCTTTGTCGTGGGCATTAGGTCCTGTGTCTGGGTAAATAGATTTTCAAACTGAACATCAGTCTTCAGATGATCCACATATCTACGACAATCACAAAACTTAGAACCTAATGATAAAAACTCTAGTTGAGTCCTATTGAGATTAACGGAAGAAACGTTAAAAACATACCGCTCACAGTCATCTGGTAAATCCGGTTTAAATATCTGGCTGTCTAGTTGTCTGATTAGGTCGATTCTTTTTTTTGTTTTCCCTCGTTCTGTAAAATATCATAATTATGGACTTAGAACTATAGAGCCTGATTATTAAGTCATTGAAAACGATTGTTCGCTCAAATATTGTTCATTTTTGAATATTCTATAGGGATCTTTAAACTGCTAACGTGCTTTTATTTCTGTCTTTCATTCAAAACTCAACCATAAGAGATGTGCTATCTAGATTGCTATGAAAACTAGGATAGTAGAAGAAAATGGAAGTACTGGTTAGAAAACAAAAGATGATGCTAGCACCTTTATATTAAATATCTTTTGTTTGGAAGTAAACTGATCCACTCAGTCCCCCAAAATACGCCAATGAAAGTCAACACTTTGTTAAAGGGTTTAACAAAGCCTGTTGGATAGTTTGTAACTAAATAGTGTTAGCTTACTGAAGACTATTAGTTAATGTAAATATTAATAGGCTTTTACATCAGTTTCACTTTATTATCTATTTCCAGTTGGATTATTGTAGTACCAGAACACCTTATGAGTGCTTAATTTTTTTCAGGCTTCTTACATGGATAAAAGATTGGCTGAATCTCTCGAAGAATGGATGAAGTATGACAAGGTAACTGCTTTTTCGCTTTTATGTTATCGATTTTGTTTAAGAATGAAAGCACGCGCTCACAAATTAAGTTACTAAAAGAAAAAGAAGCGTGGGATGTGTTACGGAAGTTATTGCTAGAAAGAATGACATTTGGGACTGCTGGTTGGTATAATCCAGAGTTTCACTGATATATTTTAGGATTACGAGCAAGAATGGGGCCAGGATATTCTCAGATGAATGATCTAACAATTATACAAACAACACAGGTAGGAAAAATTAGTATTAATCCCTATTTCTTTCAAGGGTTTACTTAAGTATTCACTAAAAACATTCTCAGGTCTCAAGTCAGATGGGATTATAGTTGGTTATGACGCTCGACATAATAGTAAAAAGTAATCATTTTTTCAACTAATATGTTCCATCCGTCTAGATGGGCGTTTATTGTCGCTAATATATTTGTTAATGCTGGCTGCAAAGTGTACTTGTTTAAAGATACATTCCCAACTCCTATGGTTGCATTTGGCGTTAGGCTCTTCAAAACAGCCTTGGGTGTTATGATTACTGCCTCACACAATCCGAAAGATGACAATGGTTACAAAGTAAGTATAGCTTTCTTAATCTAGTTTTTTCAAGGTTTACTGGTCGAATGGATGTCAGATCATCAGTCCTCATGACAGTGGTATATCAAGTTGCATCCTTGAAAGTTTGGAACCTTTGGAAACTTCATGGAACATAGATAATGTCGAGGCGAATCCTCTCTGCTTAGATCCAATGCCTAAGCTTTTGAAAACCTACTGTCGACTACAGAAGAGCAGACTTTGTTTTACAGAGTAAGTTGTGTTTGCTTTACCATATATATATATATATATAACTGTACAAAAAGTAGAGCAAGAATATTTGATCGATGGATCTACCTTAATCTGTGACTAGGTAGCTTCCTTCATACTTCGATAAACGTTTAACAAAAAGAAATAATATATCTATTTATTTGAAATGTTTTTTCCTGAAACAGATTGTTGTAGCTTTTTCATTGTTTTTCTTCTGAACGTAGTCCACTAATATTGTACGTTCACATTCTTGGAAAACTTCTAACTACCCGTTATTCTGCCCTTAAAAACATCTCTAGTGAGATAAAATGATTCACAGTTCTTGTTTTGTCGACTTATTGACCATGTTACACAAAGGTTGTTAATCTCCGATCAGCATCAAAGTTTGAGTATTACAGTGGTTGGTATTTTAGTTTATTCATGGGATTTTGGTAATTACTAAACTATTTCGAGCATTAAATTTACTTGGTATTGTTTACTTGGATCTTCCCATTGATGTTTAGGACTGCAATCGGTCAGTCTCTTATTGACATATGTGCATACTGTGTATATTGCCTCGATATTGCCTTAATTCACAAACATTATAAGCAAAGATGAATAGCGGCTAGCAGTGGAATCCAGGACGTGCGTTTCGTCCTATTTGTAGTTAAGTCGATAATGCGATGACGTTTAAAGCGAACGGTACTAGGTTCGAGTCCCTGAATGAACATCAAATCTGGGATGCAGGTACATCCAGCTGATGAGTTCCAAAAAGGACGAAGCGCGCGTCCTGCATTCCACTGCTAGCCACTATCCATCTTCGCTTATTTTAAGCAGTTTTTTAATACTGCTAGTTCTATAAGCTATGCAACAAAGCCATTCTGAGGATATTTGAAGTTCCGAGAAAATTCCTTTCTGTCAGCTTAAAATTCTTGATGTTTAGGACTGAAAATCTGTATATTAGTGCTCGTTCGTTGACTCCAGTGGTAACCACCAATCTCGACTATCTCGAGAGGTCCAACCATACAGCTCAAGATCAACATAATCTCTCAGGGATCCAAACAGTTAATCTCCTCTTACCATCTAAAATCAAATACAGTATGTCGATGTGTGGCACGTTTTAGTTCTATCATCCTTGAGAACTTGACAGTGACATTGATTGGTATTTTGAATTCAACTCGTATACATTTTTGTTTTCTATGTGAAAAAAGTGTGTAGGCTGAACCTAACCAACTTTCCTTCGAAGTAAAACGTATTCATAATGGTATGTAGTTAATTTGTAGAGTATATTTTTCTATGTTGCTTATTTTTGGTTTTAATCGTTAGATCTGAAAATATAAAGTGTAAAACGTCTTTTGTGTACACACCTATGCATGGTGTAGGTTGGGAAGCAGTTAAAACACTAGTTTCGTGTTTTGGGTTTCCTCCACTTGAACCAGTTCCTGAACAGGTAGGTTCTAGTTTCCTGGAATCTGATTTTTCAAATATATATGGTGTATCGTAAATATGTTAAAGTTTTCAACTACCCCTCTACTCGATTAATACGTGAACACAATGCAAACACATTAGAAAATATATGTTACTCATCAAACATGTGTAACGCTAATATTACTACGAAAATTTGACTTTTACAAAATTCTCTTCACGCCTAACCACATAGAAACAGTCATACTTAGTTTAGGTCATTCCGAGTTTCGAATACAGATTAAAATTAATGAATGTATTGTTGTAATATTTCGATGACCGGCACTTCAGTAAAATACCCCAGTAAGATTTAATCTTTTGGTAAATCACATTCTTCTTGTTGTTTTAGGTGGAACAAAAATTTTCAACGGTATTCTTAAACTTTTATTGCAAGTTTCAAGCTTGTTGATCAACTATTCAAACGAAATAGCTTTTCGACGTTGTTATGTTTACTGGTAACAGCAGTCACTGTCTACTTTAATACGTGCATGGTACTATTGTTAATGAAACTGAAAAACTGTATTGATTAATAAATAGATTTTAGCCTAAGAGAAACAACCAACCGTTTCAAGTACCTTACAATTTAATTCCTTTAATATTTCTCAGGATGCGTATAAGTTGTTCTGTTTGAATAACAACTCCTATTTTTAGGCTTTTCGGCCTGGATACAAACTGGAATTTAAGCGTTCGCGCGCGGGATCGTGGATGCGCACTTCTGAGGCGTCCCATACAAGAACGAAATGGTCATCAAGTGCTTCCAGGTTTTTAATGGTGGTGTAGCTTAGATTGACTCGTGAACTCAACTTAGAAAATACTACAATCTCCACAAATTCCCTAAAATCGATAAACAAATATTAAACGATTGATTCTTGTCCCGATAAACGACAGTTTTAATTTGAGTCAGCTCATGTTATATTCTAACCGATTCTCTAGTATCAATTGTAGTTTTAGTTTTGGGAATAGTTCAGTTAGTACCAAAAGTTGGAACTCCATGTTAGAATTTCGAGTGCTTGTCATCAGAGTTATGTCTCTATCCACCCAATGCTTTCTAATCCTTTAATCTCTGAAGCGTATTGATTTGTTACTGCATATGTTTCAGGTTACAAGATATAAAATAATTTTCACCATAAAGTATAAATTGGTTTTCGTTATTGACTTCTCAGTGATTTAGTTGATATCCAAGACTCAGTCTAATTTACACTTAATCTTGGCTGTTATACAGGGGTTCATATATTCATTGCGGTTTTGTGAAATAAAACCCAGTTAACTCTATTCAAATACATTGATAAGAGTTTCATACTATTTATCCTAGTGCGTGTATGGATACTCGCTGATTTTCATGCCAGATTACCTTTTGACAATGCGGATTTCAGTAATCGTACTGTCTTGTTTTATAAGCGTATCGCCTACATAAAAGCCAACTCTCGAAAATTCATAATTTTATACTTAAAGCTATTTTTTTAAATCCCTTAAGATAACGCCCGATCCAGATTTTCCAACCGTTGACTATCCAAATCCAGAAGAAGGTCGTTCTGCACTCAATTTAGGTATTAAACATGCGGAGTCTATTAAAAGTACTATCATTTTTGCCAATGATCCAGATGCTGATAGACTAGCAGTTGCTGAAAAACAAAAATCGTAAGTTGATGAACACATTTAATCTCAGTCAGTTTACTAAAAAAGAACGTGCTGTATGTTTGTAATTAAAATAGACAAAGATTTCTTTGTAAACTTTATATAAGTTTCTTCTTACCTGAGGTAAGTTTAAATCAGCTATAATAAAATATTTACAATTGATTGGTCATTGTACAGTGACTAATATCACGTTTGTCCATTTGTTTAGTACTGATCAAATTTCGTCTATCAAGTTGTAATGGGGACACAAGCCTAGGTGACTCGATATCTCACGCGCTATGTCGATATGTTAGGTGGTTAACAGTGATCGATATGTTCCGTGCTATTTGGAAGTTGTCAATATATACTTATAGTTTTGAGGGAATTAATATTTACTGGTAGATTCAAACCTGAATTATTTTTTTCTGGTTAGCGTTTTTTAGCGGAATGGGATCGCTAACTCCGTGCCAAATCCTCCTCCTTTATCCGGGCCTGGGGCGGGCAGTAGCCCCAGAGGGGCTCCAGACGGAGCGTACATTCAATTGAAAAACATCTGGAACTCAAAACTACTTCAACCAACACCAAAGCCAGAATTTTCAACACAAATGTCAAAACAGTTCTATTGTATGGGACGGAAACTTGGAGAACTACAAGAACAATCATCCAGAAGATATAAGTGTTTGATAACAATGGTCCACGAATAATACTTGGGATCCGTTGGCCAGACGCTATCAGCAAAAACCTACTGTGGGAGAGAACTAACCAGATTCCAGCGGAGGAAGAAATTAGGAAGAAGCTCTGAAAGTGGATAGGACACACATTGAGGAAAGCACCCAACTGCGTAACAAGACAAGCCCTCACATGGAATCGTGAATGCCAAAGGAGAAGAGGAATACCAAAGAACACATTACGCCGAGAAATGGTGACAGACTTGAGAGAAATGAACAAAAATTGGATAGAACTAGAAAGGAATGCTCAGGACAGAGTGAGTTGGAGAATCCTGATCAGCGGCCTATGCTCCATTGGGGGTAACAGGCGTAAGTAAGTAATTAAGTCAAATCTGCGTCACTCAGCTTCACAGCTTGAAATATCACCACTGGCCTGTTCGGACAGCGATGCGGTTTTTGTAGGTCAGTTAATTTCCACTGAAATTAAGACCTGTTTATCAAGCCTTATTCTTTTCTTATTATGCCAGTTACGTTAAATAATTCCCGTAGTAATAAATCTATACATCTATCTGATACTAGTTACCACAGACTACGAACATAATTTTTGTGAAGATCATTAAACATACTATGTTTTCAAATCCAAACAGATCATTATATTTTTTGACTGAAAATGTTTGTCTTTCTACAAGTTAATATTTTATTAATATTTTACTCAACAATATCATATGTATTTAATTGGTAGTGGTCAATGGAAAATTTTCAGTGGTAATGAACTTGGAGCTTTATTTGGTTGGTGGTTATCTTTGCAGTGGAAAATACACAATCCTCATGTAAAACGTATGTTATTACAAAAATACATTATTGAAATTTTAAAACGTTTTCATTTATGAATGTGGGATTCAATATGAATTTTAAAAATAATAATAAAAGTTTGTTGTTTGACTAATCCAATTTTACTGAAGCTAAGAGTCAAATAGGATATATATCGTATTTCTTGAATAAAACAAAGTTATCATAGTTGATTATATGCACATAGACCTTGTGATACAGATCTTTTGTTTTTATTCTTTTCACAGATGTGTGGTCTGATCCCTTTTTCTCTACACTTGATATTGGAATTTGTGACATCTTGATATCCTAAAGATTTTTATTTTCACTAGTATTAAGCTAAAAGATTTACTGTTTTAGAAATCTATTTTGTAGTGGGTTAACTTGGTACTTATTGTTTAAATTCTATCTTATCCAATCAGCCAATTCATGTACGCAACGGCACTTAGTTATGATTGTTAAAGTAATATATATATATATATATATATATATATATATATATATTTGAAGTTGGAATTCAAAAACCTAGGAGGCTGAGGCAGTGATTGTATAGGGTCCTAAACCTGAGAGGATGGATTGTATGATAATTATAAAAGATTTGGAGAGTTTACACAAGTTTCAGTTAACCTGAAAATAGGTTTAGAGTGCGAGGTGGCGGAGTGACAGTTATTTACAATTCGTAATTAATAAGATAGGTACCAACTGTACACAATTAACGAATTCTGCATTAGGCTACCTTTACGAGTTATTTTATGTTTAAGTTTTGTAATATAGAATGGTGTTTGTTTACAACATTTACTGTTCCAAAGTGATAATATCTAAAAGGAACATATTGAACTATGCATTTGTGACGTCATTATCTGAAAATTATTTTTCAATAGCCTCTTCAATACAATGACCATTATGGAAATTTGTGATTACTTTCCGTACGGATAGTTTGCAACATAAACTTTTTAATTAACCAATAATTTCTAAATAAATGGTTCTTTTTAGCATTTTTTTAAAAGTCATAATTTATCTCCAATTCCTTTAACAGTAGTAAATGTATCCCCATTTTCTTGCAAGGAAGGTACTCTAAGTCTTATCTTCAAATCATGCTTCCTAGTCAAGAAGTCAGAATTCTAACAAACTCTAGTAATCAAACAGCCATAATGTTTTTAATGTAGTTAAAGCATTAGATTATGTTTCATTTTTGTTTGTAATAGTCTATGAGATGTACATTGTTGGCAGTTATCTAAGTGGCATTCAAAAAATAATTGTTCTGTGCGCAATAAGTTTATGTTCATCAGTTATGCGAATGACAGTATTTCTACTCTCACAAAACGATTACCAACAATCAATTGTGTATTAAGACCTATTGTGCTATTATTTATTCAGTGTAAAATTGACTTACTACCATCAATCCTAACATCTTTTTTGAAGAACTGTTGGAAGATTGTCTTATTTACTGTCGATTCCGCTGTAGCGACGTACAGGTTGTAATTATGGTAATGTTGCATCTTCTGAACTGGGTAGTTTGATAGTGAAGTTTGGATAGTCTCTCAAGACAGTATCTGTTGTGCAAAGTTCTGAAAAAAGTGAGCTATTGGAATTTCTTCATAATTGACTAACATCTGGTTCTTTTATGTTTTAGTTTGATTATTGTTAGCAATTGTTCTGTCATTTTTTGGACATTTATTTTGATTGTCTTTCTCTTTGACTTGATTCCGAACCTTATAGCTGTTTGTCATTTTTTTAATTGGTTAACAAGTTAGTCTTATTTCAACATGTTTATGGATTCCTGAATACTATGCTCCCGAAAATTCCCTGGTCTTCTTTGTATTACCTCTGTTCGACACTTCAACATTTTCTCCATCTCACTTATGTCCACATTTGGTTATATACATCAGTATGAGTGGGAAATATTTCGTGACGTTTGGTAGCTATCATCAATCTCCTGAGTCAAAAATCCCCACCATTTTGCGCGTATTTTATCACCCAGTCATATGTGCCACTGAAAGTAGTTTGGGAAATACTAGGGGCTACCAGACCAATGTGCAACAGTGGTCGGCGCAATCGTTAGTTAATCGGAGTCTTGTCGGAAGGTGCACGCTTTCTACTTGTGATCCGCTTGATATTTGTCATCTATGGTTAAAAAAGACGTTAGGTGACATAGCTTGAGTCAAGTCGTAGGGTTTTGATTTAATTTCTTATCTTCCATCAAATTTTAAGGTTAACATTATCTCATACTTTCTGTTTTGTTTAGTTTTTTTACTACCATTGATTGGTTATTTCAAATTCTTCACTTATCAAGTTCATCTTCTATTATTGTGCTAATTTAAAGTGTTGTCCATCTAAGTACATTTATACCAGATACTGCGTTGTTTATCACCGATAATAATTCCAAGATACATTAATATCCTAAAAGTTATTTTATCCAATCAGTGTATTTCCATTGCTCTATTACTGAAATAATCATATTTATTATATGATAAAAAATGATATATCAAAAAGTAATTGTTGTATTTCTGGACTTATATGATATAATCTCTACACTCACAAATTAATAGATTGATTATATTTTAGGAATTCAGTATTATTTCGTACACACGGCTTTTAATTTATAATGTGATTACTTATAAAATCAGTTGTCGCTAACCGAACTCGATTAGCTCTAGTGAATTTAAACTCCAAACCGAATAATTAGAAGTTGAATAATTACAACACTGAATTACATTCTCACAATGTTTACAGGGTACTAAGAAAAGATGGAGAATCGGTCGATGAGGTTGTTGATCTCGAACGATTAAGGTGACCGTGATATTTATTACATATATCTTACCAGCACCTATCTTGGTGCACGGTGTTGACTGGCGTAAGAGTTGGTTGGGGGAAAGTTAGGTGCCGCCACATCAGAACTTGGCATTTATTTTCATCTATTTTATTATTAATGGCATCATTCTACTAGGTTATTGACTGTTGTTCAGAGCCACGTTGGTAGGTTTAAACAACTACTTGGTTGAGCTCCATATGATTATCGTGACCTGTAGTTGGAGATGTTGGTTGACATAATTCAGAATCGGTTACAATAGTGAAGATTCATCCATTCCTTATATTACTTTAGATCTCGAGTTCCAGCATTCTATAATACGTACCTTTTCATTTGTTCTTCTCGAATTATATTGTTACTGCTTAATCATTCTTATTTTCATTACCACATTATTCCGACTCTATTGGTATTCCTATCATTAACTTTAGCTTGCTCTGTTATGGTATAGCAACTTCTGCTCATACGCATGTATGCCAGGCTCTGATTCGATTATGACTGACTCTGATTAAAACCAGTGAAATGTGTTTATGTTTATGTTAGAGATGTCTAAAAAAAATTTAGATTTGTTAGGTTTCACAACTCGTCAGTACCTTTTCATGGCTCAGTAAACTATATTTTTTAAATTCTCTCTTCTTTGTTGTTGTCTACCTGATATTCTAATGTATTATCTATTTTTATTTAATTGTTCAAAATTCATTATCATTTATGGATACGAATATAATGTGTAATTTAATTGCTGTTTCTTAAGGTAATGAGAGATTCGTTGTAAGGAATCAACCTTCTTATCGGTTCCTGTTGTTGCACAACAGTCGAAGTATTGTTATCTCATACTTTGTTAGATTCTTCATTGTCGTGCTACACTATTAGTATTCAGAATGTAGGTACTTGGTTTCTATTTTATTAAGTGCGCGGAGTTCAACAGCTGATAGATTAGTTAAATTTTTTCAATACCAATCCTGGTTAACTGACATTTTTTTGGAAACTTGTGTAAATTGAAATGGTATATGTAATAAGAACTTCGTACAGTTTAACTATATTTTATATCTACATGAAATACTGCAAATCGTATCTGACCTTAGTTTCATATATATATATATATATATATATATATATATAACTTTAAAGAATATGCATAAAACATGTAATTACCCACTTTGTTTATAGTTAAATTCATAAAAAAATAGGTTCACATAGACTAGTTAACTTCTTAATTATCTGATAGGACATCACATGTTTCTACAATGGATACTGTTAAAAAATTTTAATATTTGGAACTTCAGGTATATATATATATATGCATATATAGTAATGATAATTTAACTACAAACGTGAATAAAAAACTATTTGTATTAAAGATTCTTATGAAATAGAATTGTCAAGATACTTAGTAATCAGTCATATTTTGGTTTATGGTTAGATTATTTAAATTTTCAAGATAGCGCTCATCTGGGATTGAAATTAGTTTAAAAAACATTAAGCATCATAAAGCGTTAGATAACTGGTTCTTTTTGGTCCGCGACTAGTAACAGTGTAGTTTCCGAAGGTTTTCTAACATCCAGTGGTAACAGCATATTAGTAACGCTGAAGTTCGGCAATATATGTTCGAGCTCAATCATGGTAAATCAAACAATGTCGCCACTTTGAAACACTGACTTCGGCAACTTCAAAATGTTTTGGGATCATCTCAGTGACCTCCATATCATGCATTATTTGCCGATATTGGGACTGGGTCGGAAAAGCCTAAAGGTGCCCTGTTGTTGGCATAAAATAGTGATGTGAGAGCAAGTTTTATAAAACTAATACCTAACTTAAGGCGTTACCAGACATGGCTTCAAGTAGAAGCCATTTGCTATCCTGCTGACGTTTTGTTGTACTATTATTAAAATTAGAGGAACTTCCTTAACCGAAAAATGTTCTTGGTCGTATTTTTAACTAGACCGTATCTCCTGTTATGTACTATTCTTGTTCATTGATTTTTTCGATTGTGCTCCCTCTCACCCCTCTATTTTGTATGGCACTTGATATTTTTGTCGCTTAGTTGTATCAGAATATATATATATATATATATATATATATATATATATATATATTCGAGGTGACCGTCTCACTTTTTGTCCCATACCGCTGTTAGATAGAAATTTGTTGCAGTATCATTCTTTGAAATGTCGAGAAATATCTTAAGGTTAATAACGAAAGCAAACTTTTGTGATTAACCTTGTTATATGCATATCTTTTTAGAGAAAAAGCAACTCAAAAATGAACACATCTTTTCACCTATTAGTTTCATTCTTATTCTGAATATTCAGGTCGAGAAAAAAAAATTGTACTACCCAGTAATATAGCTACAAGAAAGTATTTTTTAAAAATACCTGGACGAAACAGTTATGTAAAAAAATACTAAGTAATTGTTAGTTTGGTAGAGCAGTAGTAACATTAATGCTAATGCAACATTGCCTAATCTGTTGCTTTTCTGTTAAAGTTTGTAGAAAATTAAACATTGTCTATTTGTTGTCAAGTTTACCTGTTATTATCCTTTCCCCTTAATTTTTACATGAAGAAACGTGTTCACACTCCTGTTTAATGTATGTAAACTTGTGTCGAATAAAACTAAAGTCTCATATTCGTCTTATGGTAGTCATGTATTACAGACTATATTTATAAAGAATAATCAATATCATTAAGAGATCGACAGTTCACCTTTTGCTGTTTGCTTTTCGTGCACTTAGTATAATTTTGTTGTTAAACTTGCAGTGCAGCAAAATTTGCCAACTGAGAAACTGCTCAGAGAACAAACCAACATCAAAAAAAGTACTAGCCTCTTTATGGAAAACTAAACATTTATGATTTATATGTAAAACAATGAATAACTTCACGTTCAATAATTATTATTTCTATCAATTCGCATTAAAAACAATTTGAAATAATTGTCTTTCTGACTATTTATTTTTTGACAAGTATTATAGTGTTTTATAGGTCCAAATGATCAATTTTCCAATTGATTTTTGTTGTGGCGTAATCTTCTTTATTCCATCTAAATAACTTTAATGTTTTCATCTGGAACATTGATTTTTTGTTGGCCTAGTGGTTTAGGGGTATGATACTCGCTTCGGATGCGAGTGGTCCCGGGTTCGAATCCCGGTTGGGCCCATACTTTGTGAAGACTCTGACAAAATGCAGAGTCTTCTGACCACTATAAGCAACAATGCAGGCATGTTCGGGATGCGATTCTCTCCCTCGAAATGCAAAATGTTACTTCAGGATTGGGTTGCATCGACACCTGAACTAACGATAGGGAGTGAAGTAGTTGAGCGTGTTGACAGCTTCACTTATCTTGGGAGTCTCATCAGCCCTTGTGGTCTGGTATGTGACGAAATCTCAGCACGGATACAGAAGGCTCGTTTAGCTTTCGCCAACTTGCGCCATTTATGGCGTAGGCGAGATATCCGTTTAGCAACAAAAGGACGGGTTTACTGTGCAGCAGTCCGTTCCGTCCTACTTTATGGAAGTGAAACATGGCCGATAAGAGTAGAGGATATTCGTAGGCTACTAGTGTTCGATCATAGGTGTCCTCGACGCATTGCTCGTATATCCTGGGACCACCGGGTAAGTAATGCAGTTGTTAGGAAACGGGTACTAGGTAAGGATGGCAAATCGATTGATGAAGTAGTGAAACTTCACCAGTTGAGATGGCTGGGACATGTGTTACGTATGCCCAACCACCGACTGTCATTCTGTGATATGATCTATCAAATTCAACAACCTCCACAAATCCATACTAATATGTGCCTTTTCGAAAACATCACCTTTTTATATATATTAGTCGCGTATCATCTCTTTTTCGGAAGTCTCAGTTTCACTTCAAAATGTTGAGGCATAGCTTTACTTTATCTGTTCAACGTTTATGATAAGATTTATTTCAAGTCGTTAAAATTCCTTTCTCATTTGTATGTTGAATCAAGACAAAATCAGGGTATAGTTGGATCGATTGTACGGGATTATTGTAGGATAGTAACGACGAAAAATTTAAATTTGTGTTTCGTACCTTTTACAATCCACACTAAATTTTCTGTCACCAGCAATAAACGCGGTTTCTCATTATTACCAAGATTATTGTTCAACGAGTTAAAATTACAAAACATAAAATGCATTGTAATATTTAATTTGATTTTATGTTACTATTTTACAGCTTCCAGTATTGCTGTATTATCTAGTACCGTGTCTTCTAAAATATTAAAAACTATTGCCGAACACGAAGGGTTTCGTTTTGAAGAAACTTTAACTGGTTTCAAATGGTTGGGTAATCGCTCATGTGAGCTAGAATCGCAAAATATTAAAACAATTTTCGCTTTCGAAGAAGCTATAGGTAAGATTCATTATTATTCATTACTATACACTCTTCTTCCTGTAATTTTTTTGTCAATAAGAGGAATTATAAAGGTCTATTTTATTAGATTGTTTCTTTTGAACTCTACTTTTTTGTTGATACTTTGATTTATATCGAATTTCCCTGAAGCTTCAACAGAATATTATTTGATTTTCTATTTACTAAGCTGGGAATTATATCCGCCTATCATATATTCATTAATACAATCTTTAAAGCTCTTCTTTTAATCACATGTTACAACTGCTTCTTTAAGATTATTTTACACTCTCATCTAACCCCACTGTGATTATTAGAGTGGTTCATTGTAGGTAGCTTATAGAGACTTCTCCTTTTCAAAAGCTGGTGAAGTGGAAAGAGAGATTTAAGATTTATTTAGTAAAATACTCACTAGTTTTGTGGATATTTTCTTGTGATATTATTTGGTTATCCAACCACTTACGTAGACCATCATATTAACAGATATACATTAACTAGGAAACACAAGAAGCGATATGAACCAAAGGGTATTTGAGATATTAATTCGCGTGCACTTCCACATTTAAAAGTCTAATTCACTTTAAGGTAACAAGCTATACAAGTCCTCGTGTCCTGAACAACGATTAAGTCTAGCTGAAGAATGGTTGGGGTGGCACTCACTTATTAATAGTTTCGGCACGTGAAAGAAATATTTTAAAGTTGGTCATGAACGAATATATAAAAATATTTCCAATACATTTCAAGCGATGTTCTATAGCTACACAGCAAAACACATTACTATGCAGTGGAATGGAATTTTGCAAAATCATATCAATTAATATAACAACAGAATGAACAACACCAAATGAATTTTAAAAAGCATACCAAAAAAAATTCGAGCTAGAGTACAATTTAGTATACAAATCTCTTTTTAACTTGCTGGTCACAGACTGCTAAACTAGAATTTATTAAGCAATCACGATTACTATTTGTTATATCTAAAACTTGGATTTTTGCAATACCACGTACAACTTGATCACTTGAACCCTAGAACCTTCCAAGTCGCAAGTTAGAAGACAAAAGACGAGTAGGACGGAATCTTATTCCAAACAGTGTCAAATATGGTACAAAACACTCAGGTATTTATAGTTTTTAGTAGAAACGAAATCATCATTACAGTCATACAATCCTCATGCAGTGGATTTTAGTATTTGTCCAATAGGGGAGTTACACGTCGAGATTCTGGAATGTTCGTTAAAACAATGGTTGGAATGTCTTCAACTCTTTCATAGCTTCTTAAAGATTCCTTGAGTTCGTCGGGGACCGTCTTCACACTATTCTTTAAATTTATGAAATAGCATTATGTGAATATGAGTTATTTTTCACCTTCGATGCATATTAACAACGAATATGAGAAGCTGAAAAAGCCTACAAGTTAGTAAGTAATGTGTATGTTTTATATCACATTCATCTTTGCTGATACTACCACATAATTTCATTAATCGACATACTGACTAGATACTAGGATATATACATATATATATATCCAAATTTTAGGTATAACAAATAGTAATTGTGATTGCTTAATAAATTCTAGTTTAGCAGTCTGTGACCAGCAAGTTAAAAAGAGGTTTGTATACTGAATTGTACTCTAGCTCGATTTTTTTTGGTATGCTTTTTAAAATTCATTTGGTGTTGTTCATTCTGTTGTTATATTAATTGATATGATTTTGCAAAATTCCATTGGTTAAATCACGTTTTAGTTGTCAGTCAGTCATGACTATTTCGTTGTTTTTCATTTAATTCCGTAATTTTGTCAGTTAATTAATTAGTAATATTATACTTTTTTTTCATGGAATCCAAGAAATCGACATTGTTTATTTTTAAATTTTAAGTTTTTTTTATTCTGGATAAATTCACTTCCATAACCCTTGAATTTACTCTTGTTGTCAGGTTTTATGTGCGGTGATGTTGTCTGGGATAAAGACGGTGTTGGGGCTTTAGCAGTTATGGCTGAACTGACTGCTTGTGTTCATCGTAGTGGAAAATTATTATCTGAGCAATTAATAGAGATTTATAACATGTAAGTGTTAGTAAATAGATTATATTCAAGAGATCTTAGCCTTTATTGATTTTTATCAGAATATGGATTTGTGGAGATTTTATTGGCTGGTAAAAACACTATCAAATCTTAGGTCCACAATGTCTTAGGACTACTTGTTTGTGAGGACTTTAGTTTCGATTCAATACTTGGTCGTTCAGCTCTGAGATAAGGGGTGTGTATATAGTTAATCATTTATAAATTTGATATGATACCATATTCAAGCAATTACTCAATTAATGTCTGTTATAAACTTGGTAAATATTTGTCAGATAGTTATTCGGATAATGACACCTGATATTTTGTTCATCCTATTCTCTTCTTTTCCACCTGGAAGAGTTTCTAATCACTTTTGGAATAGAATATATGTTCCCAGCTATTTACTAAGACGATCCTAGTGCGTTCTACGGGGTATCATCTGGCACATAAATCAAATTATGTAAATTAGTGTTCCGTACATTCATGTCAATCATTCTCATACGAAATGATTTAAATATCATATTATTTCGTCTTAATTTTATTATCTCTGCAAACTGCGTACTGTCGACTATTAACAGTCAAACATTTGACTTCATTAGTGTATTCGAAATTCATGGTTTTTTTTTTAAAAAACAAGGTTACCGCGTAAACCTTTTCTGGGTTTTTAAATACTTTTTTAATTGTTGCCACGTAGTTGACTTTTTGAACTCTGTTCGTTCATCATTATAATGCTTTTCTTAACTTTAAGCGCAGACACACGTACACACCCTTTTTTCATAACTGATTACTACAATCTACAAAAATGAATAACCTTAACGAATTGATTTTTCCGCTTCACATATAAGGTCAATAATGATTTGATTTTTAAAAAATGCATTTGGAACTCATTGTCATCATAATTCATTGGTGTTAACTAACTGAACAACCATGCACTTTCCTTTTTGTTTGTTTTATATAATAAAATTTTAAGTTTATGCATATTTGTCAGTTGCTTCACACTTTTGAAGTGACTGGATTCCATCAGTTGATGGCATATCCACATATTCTTAGATTACTTATACATTTTAGTCAACTTTCAAGTGAATGCAATTTGACTATCCGAGAGATCGCGAATTTTTTTGAAATCAGATAAATGCATGATTTTTAAGAATCAAAGTAGACAAAATGCTTTGGTCCATAACTTCATATTGATTAACTCGGAGTATCGTACACTATTTTTGATGGAGTTTTGTTCTCTGAGCTGGATGGTTTGGTCGTGAAGCTTTTATCATCCTTCTGAATGACATCATCAACACAAACTTCGGGTAGAAGTGAAGTGTCGTGTGAACCTCATGTGGAGAAATTCAAACACTTCACTTCTACCCGAAGTTTGTGTTGATGATGTCGTTCAAAAGGACGATGAAAGCTTCACGACCAAACCATCCAGTTCAGAGAACAAAACTCCATCAAAATCATCCACCTGAGCTACAAATCTTCTCCACCATCGTAAACCAGGTTTTTCGAATATTCTATGATAATTGTGTTGTCATTGTTACTAATAGCGACGCATAAAATTTTAGCCTTCTAGGAATTCTACTTCATCTAAACTCAGTCTTTTTCGCTATAGTGTAGTGTACACGGGCATACATGTGAATATTATGTAGAAATCACATGTTTGTATTGTTGTAACAAATACGTTCCTACAGACTATGAATTTCATCGAGAGTGATTCTATATCAAAGATCATAGTTATTTTTAAACCATGTGAGATTAACTATTCCCTTTATTATGACGGGTTGCTAGGATCTTGAAACAAATTCTTCATATAGTTCAATCATCAAGTATGGAATCTACATTTTGACTCTTCTATTGTTTGTAAAAATCAGAATTCATCCAACAGCTATAAATCACTTTTCTTCTATTATCGTTTATGATAATCTGTGAATATATCTTTCATACAAAAGTTGTCTTCACTAAAAGCTTATTTCAACCGTAAACTTTTCATTTATTCTAATAGCCTTTTGAATACTTTAGTTCAATGATATGAACACATCTGGGGGATTAAGTGGTATGCTTCATTCCAGTCAAAATTATTTCATTAAGTACTTTAACTAATAACCGTTTTATGAATGTTGATAATTTAAGTAAGTAATTAATATGGGGAGCGGAGATTTTCTAAATCTTAAGTTTACATCACTGGTTGTTCACCAATAACTCCTAATAAAAACCATGTATTTCAGACCATTTTTTACCAATTGTTTGTATTTCATATACTTAAATTTATATTATACGACTAACATTGACAAATGATTACTTTCCTTTCTGTCTTTTCACGTTATTCTTTATTCAATATCAGTTATGGTCAACATATTTCCAATAATGGTTATTACTTTTGTCATGAACCGGAAAAAATTGTTAAGATGTTTAATCGCATACGTAATTGGCCTAATGAACCTGGTCCTAAAGGTTATCCCCAAAAACTTGGTCGGTTTCAAATAACTGGTATACGTGATTTAACAGTTGGTTATGATGATCATTATCCAGATTTAAAACCGGTAATATTAATTCAATTCCACACTAATGTGAAACATTTCCTGTTATTGTTTTTAATTAAAGTTGAATTGGGACTAACACTAGGATCTGGGATGCGTATTTCGTTCTACTTGAGACTCAGCTGAGTGTACTTCAATCTCACTGTTATTGTCTGTGTTAAGACTAGAACTGAGTACCTTTAACTTCAAACGCTAACACATCATTCACTATGTTGTTGAGTCCAAATAGGCATTATTTAGTGCAGCCCCCAAATGCCCTGGTACGGCCGAGAGTGGGGAGAGTCTACTCTCCCTCTCGAAATGCTCTCACATGGCCACGCGAATATATAGCCTCTGCCAGGGAAGTCCTACTCACTGCCTTCTCGTGGCAAAGGTGTTGTTTACGAAATTGAGAGGATGAAAAGCGAATGTCCGACGCTTTAACCGGGTTGGTGGACACGGAGGGTCCACCTAGGGGAGTTGGAAAACCCTGATTCCAAACCAATGGTGCACATGGGCTCCAGTATCCTGATGGAACGAATGGCGAATGAACCTGCTGTTGGTCACCGGCTACCATGGGACTGCATCTCCTCACGATGCTCCACTGCCTTGTGGATCAGACCTTTAGGTGAAAGACTCGGGGTGTGGTCCCCTAAGAAAACCACCTTCTTCGGTTTGGGCACCCGGGCAGTATCACAGCCCACACACAAATAAATGAAATTATGAATTCTATTGACTATACTATTCCTGCTCATACTAGAAGCAAGACAATTTACATTATTATTATTACCTTTATTATTATTATTATTGTTATTATTATTATTATTTACCATATCGCTAACTCACCCCCTTTTATCCCCAATTTGTGTAACCTTACTTTCGATTGCGTCCAAACTATTGGCTTCTATCATTCTTCGTAGGTTGTTTAAAACCCGAGAACGATTGACTCGCGAGGAGCAAGTTGGTTTTCGTTCTGGTCGAGGATGCATTGATCACATCTTCACCCTCCGCCAAATGTTAGAACACCGTCATACTTATCGCAGGCCAACAATCGTAGTGTTTCTTGATATCAGGGCGGCCTTCGATTCGTTGGACAGCACTGTTCTCTAGGATTGTCTATTGAAGAAGGGTGTGCCTGAGAAGTTCATTAACATCTTAAAGGCCCTGTATACGAACACCTCAGGCAGAGTGAGGGCATACAACCACCTTTCTCCCTTGTTCAATTCGAGCAGTGGGGTTAGGCAGGGTTGCCCGATCTCACCATTCCTCTTCAACTTTGCTATCGACGACATCCTGGAAACAGCTCTGATGAATGTAAGTAATGGCGGTGTGGATATGTTGCCTGGAGAACAACTTCTCGACCTTGAGTATGCGGATGATATTGTCTTACTGTGCGATAATGTCCAAGCCATGAAATCCTCACTTAATCAGTTGGCAATCAGTGTCCGCAGGTACGGCATGTGCTTTGCACCCTCCAAGTGCAAAGTACTTCTACAAGACTGGCAGGATTCTAATCCTGTACTCACCCTGGATAGTGAGCAGATCGAAGTAGTTGAGAAGTTCGTGTATCTAGGTAGCTACATAAGTGCTGGTGGTGGCGTGAGTGATGAGATTGATGCACGTATAATGAAAGCCAGAGCGGCTTATGCCAATCTGGGCCATCTTTGGCGCCTTCGTGATGTTAGTCTGGCTGTAAAAGGTCGGATCTACAACGCGTCGATGAGAGCAGTTTTGCTCTATGCTTGTGAAACCTGGCCTCTCGGAGTTGAGGATGTTAGACGACTCTCTGTGTTCGATCATCGTTGTTTCCGAAGGATTACTGACATCCAGTGGCAACACCATGTTAGTAATGCAGAGGTTCAGCATCGTGTGTTCGGGCGCAGAGACGATAATTCAATTGGTGTCACCATCTCGAAACACCGACTTCGGTGACTTGGACATGTTTTACGAATGTCGTCCCAGAGACTTCCACGTCGTGCATTATTTGCCGACCCTGGGACTGGTTGGAAAAAGCGGAGAGGAGGTCAGTGGATGACATGGTGTCGTGGCATGAAAGAAAGCTGCAAAGGGCTAGCTTCTGTTGGTCCTTCACGACTTCCTGGCTGCGGTCCGAGAGATGGTGCAACACAGTGGCTAGAGACATTATCAGATATGGCTCAGAATAGAAGCCAGTGGCGATCCTGCTGCAACCTTCTTTTGCTTTCTACATAAAGAATGGTTCTAACTTTCTTAACTGAAAGAGTCTTCTGGTTGTACATTTCAGTCCGCCTTATCTTTTCATCCCTTCTCTTCCTACTTTCATTATTTTGTGTGGCGCATATGTACCTGGTGCCCTTTTGTACCAATATATATGTGTTTAAATAAATAAATAAAAATATTATTTTGTGCAATCAGTATGAATTTTGTTTATAAGAGTATTGACTTTCCCTTTGTTAATATCTTTCATGGTATATGCGCATTCTAAGCAAATTACCGTGATGTTACGATTTAATCATAAGTTCTTATTAAAGTTGAATGATGATTGATAGTACAATCCAAAATATACGTTTTGTTCTATTGTCCTGCTTCTTTTTCTCAATTCAATGTATGTGTTATTTAAAGTTCATACCTGTTTCGAAGTAAATGCAACGTGCAAAATTCTATCATATGCATAGGACGATAGGAATACATGTGCATTACACAATGCAATCACGTTTTCATCAGTCTTGGTAATTTGTGTTTTATTATATTGTGCTCATTTAATTAACTTAGGGTCATTGAATCGGGGTAAAGACATTTAATAAACTATTTGTGTGTAGTAATGCAATGATATAGATCAAGTAAAACAATTAAAAAATTGACTATATCACGGTAAAAAAAAGTATTTGATTTCAAAAGAATTCATCTTATCAGTAAACTTAGTAGGTATAACACTACGTATTCCATTCAAATAAACAATAGATTACAGTGATTCTTTTTTCATATTTTTTTTATTCATATCTGTAGTAATTTAATGCTTTAACGCTTAACTCTTTCGTTTAACCAACCAATGAAATATCTTACTTAATTTCTTCTTTTCTATCCAGATATTACCTGTTAGTAAGTCAAGTCAATTGATTACTTTCGACTTCTCAAATGGTGTGACACTAACGCTTCGTACAAGTGGAACTGAACCAAAAATTAAATATTATTCTGAATTGAGATCGAAACCTGGAAGCGAGTAAGTGACTCCATTTCTTCAACGTGATCGTTTCTTAGTATGAAATCCCTCAGTAATTCATATTCCCAGCATATTTTGATATCGTATTTATTATTTCCAAGACTCATGGAGAACGTCTTAATAATTTGCAATATACTAGTAATATCACCTTTGATAGTGCTCATCCTAATCGTTGAATTGTTTCGTTGTACATGTCACAACTTTCTGTTAGATTCTAACTTGTAATGACTAACTAACAGTACGTCTATCATGGGACTTAGCCATCTTAGATCTAATTTTAGAATTGATTTTGAGTAGTCTTCTTTGTAGGTTTTCGCACTACTTCTTGACAGATGCCCAGCTTTTCATGCTTTTAGACAATTTTTTTAATTTATGCATTATCTTATGGAAAAATATTTTCAAATCAATCATTGTTTTCAAAGTAATGTGCCATATTGTTTGTTTCCTTTTCTTATATGTATCCGCTTAATCTATGTACTTACTATTAATAGAATGATGCAATTCTGTCATCTACTTTACCGTAATACACAGTAACGCGATATAAGTGAGGAAAATAATGAGACTAACAGGAAAGAAAATAATAAGAATAGAGAACGATTTATGACAGAAAATAAAGCATTTTTTGAAAAGCTTGTTCGTGTAATAAGAATGGATGTGTTATTGTTTATTACGATTGATTCGTTCGTTCTTTAAAACCACTCCTCTTCCCTCTAACTAATTATTGTTGATTGATGTCTAGTAGATCCATGATAAATGAACTTTTTCACTTTCCAACCAGATTCCACTCAGCTTTCATAAAAATCACTTGATCATTGCAATATTTTGTTCTAATCATTGTAATTCCTATAGCTAAACTGACATGTATGGAGATTTAAAAAATGAATATAAAAATAATCACTTGTGTTGAAAAATAATGTACTTAGAATGAACTTTTTCCTGACAGATGTATTTCAACTGTTCAACAGACTTGCTATGATTCCTTTCAATGAAAATATGCTGTCTTTATTGACACTTGAGTATACTAAAATTAAATAACAGGAGATAATTACCTGTGACATAAAAGATAGTTCTCGATAATTTTTTTATCACTGCGCTGAAATTCAACTTTTTACATTTATACTTTTAGTTAGTCTATAGGAAAGGTGTTTTTCTCATCCAACATTTTTCAGTGAATTTATAAAATCTAAAAATATTTTTCACTATGAATTCAGACTAGCCTGGAATTAATTACAAACAAGATGCATCACTTTAGTACATAATAATCATGTGGCTCAAGATGGATATTCTAAAATTAAAGTGTAAAATAGTTGTAGTAGTAGTTGATTTATTGACTACTATATTCGATGAGGATCACATTTTATTGCGAATTAATGAAGATTAGAAATATAAATCTGCCCCCAAATGCCCTGATACGGCCGAGAGTATGGAGAGTCCGCTCTCCCTCTCGAAATACTCTCATATGGCCAGCAAATATATAGCCTCTGCCAGCGAAGTCCTACTCACTGCCTTCTCGTGGCGGGGATGTTGTTTACGAAAGTGAGAGGACGAAAAGCGAATGTCCGACGCTTTAACCGGGTTGGTGGACACGGAGGGTCCACCTAGGGGAGTTGGAAAACCCTGATTCCAAACCAGTGGTGCACATGGGCTCCAGTATCCTGAGGGAACAAATGGCGTACGAATCAACCGTTGATCACCGGCTTCCATGGGACTGCATCTCCTCACGATGCTCCACTGCCTTGTGGATCAGACCTTTTGGTCAGATGCTCGGGGTGTGGCCCCCTAAGAAAACCACCTGCTTCAGTCTGGGCACCTGGGCAGTATCGCAGCCCTCACACAAATCGAATGAGATTTGTGAGGCGCATATTTATCTGGTGCTTCCTTGTACTAATATTTATGTGTTTAAATAAATAAATAAAAATAAATAGAAATATAAATCACTGGATTCTACTTCAGTTATGATATTTAGATCGACACTTGAATGTTTTATATTCATTCTCAAGTGAGCTTCTAGATGTTTACTGCTATGGAGTAGTTACAGACTAGAACAAAATAACTGTCGACTACTCCCTGGTTCTAAATGATCCTTTAATTTATATTGATTTGTGTTACAACTTACCTTTATATTGTACAAAAGTTTCATGAAGCCATTTTAGTGAATGATATTTGTTTATTTATAGGGAAATAATGTTGATGTGTAACTTCTTCAGGATTATTGGTACCTTCATATGGAAATATTTCTCGTTTTTTCTTTTATACACTCTACTTCTCAACTTATTGATTTCACCTTAACATGTTGATATAAGCTGTGGTAACTTATATTGATTTACATTCATCAAAGATATCTTTATTTTCTAACTAAATAAATAACTGTTTTACGTTTGTTAACAACTTAAGTTCATATCATTTTATTCATTTCATTTATTCAACTACAAAGTTTTATTCAAAGACTTGAATCAATTGAATTTCATATTATTCACATGTGGAATTTTATCCAATTTAATTAACTAAATATTTTTGTATATAGTTGAAATCATGAGTCAATTGAAGCTAGACCAACGTAGATAACCTAGAAGCACTGGACGGCCGTTTCGTCCTATTGTGGGACTCCTCAGCATCGAGCATCCATGATCCCGCCTCGTGAGATTCGAACCCAGGACCTACCAGTCCCGCTCAAGAGCCCTTAACCGATAGACCACTGAGCAGGCATCCAACGATGTTAATGTCTAACTTCAACTGATTCACGAAGTTGAGCAACCATTCACCAATTGTCTTCAGTGAGTTGATATCTCCCAACAAACCTGGTTGAACTCCACTGGTTACTGCTTTTCACTATAACTTCAGGAAATATCTCATGGAGCCAGTCACTAGTGAGTATATGATAAGGGGGTTGTTTGTGGAGATTATTAGTAATTTTTATATATAGTTGAAATCACAATAGGTCGAAACGGCCATCCAATGCTTCCAGGTTTTCCATGGTGGTCTAGCTTCAATTGACTCATGATTTTAACTATATATAAATAGTTTTGGTTAAAAGAAAATGTTTATTACTAGTTACATACTTGACTATTTTGTTGTTTAAGTAAAATCTATTGTATTAGATATCATACCCAATATTAGTTTATATTAACGTTTTTATTCACGTAAATGGTTATTTCTAATTTATTTGTTTAATGTAATTAATGTATTGACACAGATTATGAATAAAACTTTAATTAAAATCCATCTTAAAAAATCTTACACGTCAAGAAAAATTAATGTTAATAATCCTACTTAACTAAACTTAGTTCACGTAAATCTATCTGACTGTAAAACTAAATAGCTTGACTTAAATTTCTTAACAACAACCATAATTTTTTTTAAAACTCAATGTTAATAAAAATGAACTTTTCTTTTTTTTTAAAAAAAAAAGAAAAAGAAAAAATAATAAGTACACTAATCTGTTTTTATTTGCTATTAAATAAACTGATATAAAGAGTATTTCTTCAGAATATAAAAAAACAGTATCGTAGAGGTTTTGTTTTGTTGACTTACTAAACAAATTAAACAACTGATTTGTAGCAATCATGTGTTGTTCGATAATAGTCAACTGGTTGAAATATTTCATCTAAACTATTAAGTTACAGGTATACAAAACCTATTTCATTTAGTTTCTATTCCGTCAACCGGATAGTGTCAGTCAGCTACAACGTAGGACCAGACACATATATGCATCGGTCCAAGTTGCCATACATCGTTAGCAAAACAAGATGAACACCGAATTCATAGAAGTAGTTAATTTAGTGGTGTTAATATTTAAAAGAAAGGTTGTATATAAGGATATAGTACAGGAAGGAAGACAGATATGAAGCAATCTTAAACTCAAAGTTTAAGGGAGGATAAAGAATGTACACACCTACGCTATTGTCATCGATTCTGAGTCATGTCACCGGATAGTGTTGCACTAACTAGCAAAGCGAACTACTCAAACTTAGAATCAATAGTGTTTTATCGAAATTTGTAAAAGGGACTAATCGCTTTAAAATCAATAGTATAATAATTTTAAACTGTTAATGGGTAGTTCTTCTAGAATGATTATGATTAAAATTTCTTAATGTTTTGATTCGAAAGGCTTTGTGGCGATTAATTTAATTTGTAGACGATAATCTTTTAGTGACCCGTGATGTGAATCCCATTTGAACTAACGAATGGATATGTCATGAATATAAATCTTTCGCTTTATTCCTCAAATTCTCTCTAGGTTAACCCTGTATTAGATGACAGCGGTAATAAAAATTCAAATACAAAATAAGTTAAATGGATTTATTTCAGACATTCGTTCACGTAGACATATGTTGGTAAGAAGCGAAGCGGAAAAGCCAAGTGTACCGACTCGATTTAACAAAGCATTACTCAATATTTATAGCCAGATAAAAAATCAGCTAAAGACATGATCAACTGAACAAGCGATGCACACACATACGCGCATATAAAAACAGTCAAAGTTATAATGGAACAAATAACAAAATCAAGTGTAGATGCTGACTCAAAAAGCATAAATTAATTAGTCTGTTCAATAGTCGAAATAATCCATGTAGGCGTGACATAATACTAGAAGTTGTAGCCTTTATAGTTTGAAATTATTTAATATTTCTTAATGACGTCTCATAAATGAAGTTAGCGCATGCTGAATATCATCTACTCTTTAGTGTATATTAAAAAGAATCGATATTGAATCGATTGTAAATTCCATTATTATACTAATTGTGTTTATTTTTGTTTGTTTTTTCTCTTTCTTTTAAACAAAAAAAATCAAAAATGAATTCCAGAGCATCTGTAGAATCTTTAACAAATGAACTCCAAGAACTTGTGAATAAAATGATTGATGAACTTTATGAACCTGAAAAAAATGGTTTCCTTCCTCGCGTGGATTAAATTAACGTTGTTATTTACTTATTAGTTTTACTTCTTTATTAATTTAAAGGAAAGAAAATTGTGTTGGTTTTTTTGTTATGAATATTTTGTTGCTCAATGTCCTTTTATCTGTTCATTCTTTGTTATTGTTCTTTTATTTTCTATTTATCTCTTTGTTCCATCTATATGTTTGTTTATTTATTAGTTCACTAATTTAATGATTTTTGAGTAATACATTCTGTTGATTTGTAGCTTTAGTTGTAAACTTTATTTGTTTATCTTTACTCGATTGATTCATTTTAATCATGAACAGAAAAATTAATTATTTGTTATTGTAGTTCAATATTAATTATTTCTGTTATATATGACTGAATTTACTAGTCTCTGTTGTTATTTCAGCTGTTAACACAAATAATTAGATAGTGTTACTTATCTAATAATGTTAAGATTGTAATTGGAATGGTAAATAATGGGATTGGGAATGTGCGAAATTTCTGATCTACTGATGAGGGGTGTATCTGTATCATAATTATCCTTGATAATCTCAATCTAATCTATGCTCAACTTTTGTTAATTCAAACATACTTTATATACTTTCGATTTTCAGTAACACTTGTTACTGATAAATATTTATTGATAGTATATCTATATATATGGCTGTATTGTAGGAAATTTATTGTACTTGAGTTTTTATGAACTTACTAATATCTTGACGAACAAATAGCTCATGGTCTTCATAAGGGGTGAAACGTGTATCCTCAGTTCATTGTTGTACAAGTGAGTCGGTACACTTGTGTTTCGCTACTACTAACCTTCTTGTACGTTGAACACGTGATCCGTAAGCCGTAACTCAGTATATTTAGTTACTTGACGCCATTTCGAACATACATAGGTTGTATCTAATATAAGTGGTATCTTTCCACCCAAATTCTTTGAACTGAGATACTGCTTTTCCGCCTTTTTGGATCATGTTCACATTGAACCTAAATATTCAATAAGCTCTAAAGGAAGAAGCATTTCAAAGGGAATGTTCTCCATATTTCTTGGAAACTATATGTTGGGATTTACATTCAATTCTTATTGTCTTATTATTTGAAGTGACTAGATTCCGTTGTTTAGTAATTATGCTTGTTTGAAGAATAGATACATGAACTTCATCTTTAAATATCTTGGCAAGTGTAGCTTATTAGTGACTTGATTAACTGGTGAAAAAATGTGCGGGTCAATTTCTATACGATCACAAATAATCATAAACTTGTGTAAGATTAACTTGACCACAATCCTTAAGTTCTCGATGTACCTAGATGCGACGCTAGGATCTACGGATGTTGTTAGAACACAATCTTTTGGTTATGTATGTATCACAGTGATCAATCCTGGTTGTAGCTGTATGTTATTGTGTCTTTTTGCACCAGTCAGTTATATGTAAAAGGTGATGTAGTATGTTTTCACTTATCTATTTCAGACACCTGGAAATTGTAAGAAATTTGGATAGCTTACTGATTTTACGTATTACAGTAATTTTCTTTTTTTTAAAAGCCATTGATTCCAAAAGGATATGGTTTATACTTCTTTTACTCATATGTTATCCGACAACTGATTATTCAAAAGAAGTATACAAAAGTTCTTAAGTTTAGGAAGCATGTTCACTTTATGTTAACCTATGGCAATATGTTAAATAACAATATTGTGTCAAATCATTCTTTTAATTAATAGTTACTTGGATTAAATCACAGTTTAAATTGTTTGATCCCAGTTACTTGAGTATATATATGTGTAGGATTTCTCAGCAAGTTCAACCATTTCGAAAAAGTAGTTTTTTTAAAGCTTTATTTAAATCCCTTGCTACTTTGTATTTATATAAATCTTCTGTGTGGTTTAGATATGAATTTTTCAGAGCACTTTATAACTTTGAATTGTGTTAATTACAGATTGTTCTCTGTTAAATAACTTCAACCAAATACAGCATTCAGAAATTTACGTATGCTGAATTCCGCACAAAATTTAGCCCCTAATTTTAGATACTGTTAATACAACAATTAAAACTTTCATCTAAGTAAATGAGTTTAAAGTTTCTGCGAATGGATGATGATACTTGATGCTGTATCTTAAACTACTGTAACTCGATTCTAATGAAAGACTAAATAGACACTCTGGCTCCTTGCCCAATCGCCTATCATCGTGGATTATACTCTACCGTACCTATCAACCACTGATCTGAATAAACTCAAGGAAAGTTATTTCCTACTATTGTGGTCTGGAAAACCATCGGTATTCATATAGTTAATTTGGTGTACTCTGAGGATTATTCACTAAAGTAGTCGAATTTGAGATTTTGTAAAAGGGTTAAAGATTTTAAACTGACAGTTTTGGGAAGATTTTAACAAGTTTTTTTAAAGATTCGTAAAATAAACTATGTCTGCGATTTTCGCTGTAATTTCCAGTCATCAATTTCCTAACTATTTTTAAGATTTTTCACACTGAAACGCTCTTTCATATATAAGATGCATCTCACATATTCATTTTCCAGTTGACAATTCTAATATTACCCATCATTGTACGTAATTAAACCTAAGATAATTCTTTTGTAGAATATGACTTACAAAATTTTTCTGAAGGATATCTGTCAAAAACATCACAATAAGGAAGATGATTCAGTGTTGTTTTTGCTGGAATAATTTCACATTGATAAATATTGGTTGAATTGATTAAGGCAATTGTACGTTGAACAATAATTCGCTGTTTTTGTTGCTTCATTTTGACTAAATGACAGTCTACGCAGAAAATTCATACTTCTGCGTATTACTTGATTAATGCTAGAATTTATTTCAAGTCCTCTTTTATATTAATACAATTATTTACGTTACATAATGCAGGTTGAAATTTGAAAAAGAACCATAAAAATTGTACTGATTTCGAAATTATGCAAGAAAAATATTTGAAATAATGTATTGAATCTCAGTGTATAAAACTTCCTTAATTTCCCATGGTTCGGTATCTGTTTAGATGAGTGGAATAAACATGGTTAATTGTACCTATGATGTGAATGCTCGGTACGTCTTTTAAAATGTATGTTTATTTAAATCCTAACCACTTTATAATAAATAAAATCTCGAATACATCGAGTTAATCTGCACGTGTGCAAATCGAGAATGATGAAAATTCAGTCAAAAATATCAAAATCGCGATAATCTTAACCATCACAAATTAAATTCCTACCCGTTGCAGTAGTAAATAGATAATTCGCTTCTGTAGCTAGGTGGATAACACATTGATGTTTGAAGCGAAATTTACTGGGTTCTAGCGGCGGAACATACGTCATCTTAGGGATGGTTAGACATCCAGTTGAAGGGTTCCGGAGAGGACTAAATATGTGTCCTGGATTCAGATACTAGCCACATTCCGTTTATACTATGTAATTAAACTCAAGGTTAATAATTTGTACTTTGTTTGTACAATTATCTATATCTGTGTCAATACTGCAGATATCATAGAGCTTTCTATTAGATGTTTTTCTACAGTCTTCGAAGGTGGTTGTTAACAGATCTTTGAAGATTTGTTTCCCAATCGTTGATCACTTGATATTTTTATATGCTATCTAAGTTACTTATGAGTAGTTAAACTATACATTCGTAATAACTGGATGCTCAACCTTCGGTTCACCTGAAATTAATAGACTGCGTGACATCCGTAAGATCTACTGGGACTACCTAGCTCTTGAAACTTTGCTAATTGAATCTCTCGTGGAATTTACCGCTGAATGATCATAAATCACTTTCATCGACATTGAAATTAGACTATAGTTCAATAAGAGTATTAACTGGGACAAGCTTCTTTCCCATGTAATTAAAACATGACGGAAGTAATCATGGATTCTAGTCTGTGATATCGAGCGACCACCACGAATACCTTCTTCGATATCTGCCTCTTTTACGTTATATTCGGATCCCATAAATCGAGTCTAGAACCCAAGGAATTCTTCTTGTTATATCCCGTGGAGAATTATGAATGGTAACCTGGAGGACTATTTATGGACTAATGTGATATGCATATTTCCTATTGTATAGTTGATAAGTAACTTAATTATTCACATTCATGTTCCTTTTATTATGAGCTTTATTTTGACCTATAGTCTTTTATTACCCGATTTACCATTCTTGAGTTATCCCTAGTCCATTAATTATCGTTCCCCCTATTCACAGCCACATTTGGCCAAATGTTGTACAAATGTTATTTTCTATTTTATTGGTACGATGTGGTCAGTTTGTTTGGTATATAAACCCAGTATGATTGAGAATAATGATTCATATTGCAGAGGCTGTTATTGGTGTTGTGGACTTAACTGGCTGGACTAGGCAGAAAGCAGAACTGATAAGTCCTCAAAACTGTTCGTAAGGTTTTTCGTGTATCATAGCTCTGGTCGATAATTCACTCCTCTCTAGTTGGCGAGGATCATCACGTCATATATTAATTGGGCACTCAGGCAATCGATATAAGACTTCTCAAACCTAGTTACTAGCAAACATAAATTCTATTAAGGTAAGAAGTTAGCTTGAGCTACTCGATGCAAATTATTCTCATTATTTATAATAATTTAATCATCCATTGATTGTATAACCACATGTTTATTTCGAAAAATGAAAAAAAAGATTGTCACAAAACAAAGTAAGTTTTCTTCAATGATCCCCATTGATATTCAGAAAAAATTATTAGTGGGCAAAAGAAATATTTGTGAAAAAGATTTATATATATAAGTCTCAAAGAAAAATATTTATATGATGGTTTGTGTACAAAAATGATTATTAAAAAATAATTTTATGACAGACTTATATCGTCCAAGGGACAGCATTTCAATAAATGATTTATAATTAAGCAATACACCCTCGACTCTAAAACTTCTAACAAATATGCACTTTTGAAAGTAATGTGGATCGTGGAGTCTAACACCGAGCTTGTTATTATTGAAATCCTTATCCAGAACTCCAGACTTTCATATTCTTCAAGTACAGTTGGTTCAGGAAGGTGTACAACCGTTACTTCATACCATTGTAAAACGTTAACCCTAACTTTCGATTTACATATATATGTAGCACAAACTGGTTTTATGCATATAACTTTGGTTGTATACTCTGTTAGTCTCAGGTTTTTGTAGTATACAGCACTTTTACATATAGTTTTAAAATGACTTAAGAATGCATCTTTTGAATGTTAATATATGAAGAAATTGATGTTAAATATCCATAGCCTGTTGAGTGTTTGCACTATAGTTTACATTGGTTGGTATGCTTTAATTCTAAGCTATGCTGCTAAATCCTGTAAAATGATATTGGGGGGGGCAAGCCTTTATCAATATATATATATATATTTCAAAGTTGAAATCATGAGTCAATTGAAGCTAGACCACCATCGAAAACCTGGAAGCACTGGACGGCCG